CATCAAGGATGTGTTTACCTTAGCTTAGCTTAGCACAAAGACAGGAAGCAGGGGGAAACTCCTAGCCTAACTTTGCCAAAAGAAACAGAAACATCATCCAACAACTCCAAAAGCTGTTTGATTTACAAGTTGTGAATGTCTTAAAAATGAATATCCAACCTGTTGTGTGTTCACAGAGATGGACGGCTGTTTGGTCAGAAATGGAGGCTGCCACCAGTCAGCAGACTGCGTCAGAGCAGGCCCCAACATTGTAAGACAACACTGTCCTGTAGTAAAATCTGAGTTACTGGTGGCGCATAATGTGAGACATGACCCAACGCTCAGTCATTACGGTTTCTTTAAAAATAAACTTCAGTCTATTCAGTTAATCTTGGTATTATTTTTTATAGATCTGGCCACCTTTCCTGTTGGTAATGAAGTTTATTTTACCAAGTCAAGTATGTCCACACTGAGCTGATTAAATATTATTAAATCTTTTCCTCTCAGTTTTAGCCCTCTGTCCAGACTAAAATGTTTTTTTTCCCGTAAAAACTGAGATTTCCTGAACGGCCTCCAGAACACATAAATCTTACGATGCTGGCTTGGTGTTTCAGTGTGTACAGGGAAAACAGAGCTTTTCCAAAATGATGATGTCAGCTGCCCATTGAGGGTTGGGGGCTGTATGGCAGTTAAGTCACTTTTCTCTGTGATCATTCATTTTAATGTCTGTATAGCCCAACACACAGCGCAGCTGTTGTCATTAACCAGTGTGTATGTTATATTTATGATTTTGTCACATGACGTCACAATTATAAAAAAGGATTTTTATCACCAGAGCGCAGCAGCTTGGGAACGCTGGTTAATACGTTTATGAGCCAAGTTTAAATCACTGTTTCATACTCATCACGCTGAGAACAGGAACAGACAAATATGTAAATTAAAATCAACTATACTGTTAATATGGCTGCATTTAAACACAGTCCAGGTGACAACAGTGAACAGGACACTGAATGGAGGTTAAATGAATGGAGTGGAATGTGTGGCAGGGAAATAAAGATAACTTTCTGTAGCGCCCAACTTTCTCTGTGATCACACATTTAGATTTTTAAATGATGATAAATTAGCTATTATTTTGTCAGACGACGTCCCGAGCATGAAACATGATTCAGCCGGGCTGTCGGCCCCACTCCTCACCAGGTGTTAATGTGCATGTCCGAAGCAGAAGAGATTAAGCTGCGAGTGACATGAGTGCAGGATTACCAACTGGGCGAAGTGGGCAACTGGTCCGAGCATGGCCAGTGACCTCTTGTTGCATCATGACCTGTAGGAAAGATGGTCAGAGCTCTGAAAACAGGATTTCGGTCATAAAACGGACAAAGAAAAATGTCTTTAATGCTTTTCCCCCCAGAAACAACAGTTTAGCTCAGAAACGTGGCTTTGGTGTTGATTCACAGCTAAAAACCAGGAGTGAAGGAGAGATCTTTCCTTTATTTGCTGACTGACTGAACACAAGGGGGGGAGGGGGGACAGATGGATAAAGTGATTGACTGTTTTAGTGACTGTTTTCTCTGTCTGCTTTGTTGTGTTTCCAGACGTCATGCAGGTGTAAGCTGGGCTTCCAAGGATCAGGGAGGTTTTGTTATCCTGTCAACCCCTGCAGAAATGTAAGTCTGTTTATTCTCTCCTGCGACAAAGACACTGACACTCAGTTTCTGAAAAAAAACAAAACAAGAAAAACATGGGAGCAACTTGAATTTAACATTTTTTTCTTGTGTCAAATGATATATGCCATATTTGTGGCAAAATATCGAACATGTGTGGCGCTGTCTCTGGAGACGTTTTCCCCAGAGAAGCTCTTCTGCTCTCGGCTCATTAAACTGTTTGCTGTGTTTTAAAGGGTTAAGGAGGATGAGAGGAGCCGATGTGATTGGCTGTTGCTGAAGCTCACTTCAACTTGTTGTTTTTGTTGTTGTTGTTGTTTGTTTTTTGAAGAGGGGGGTATATTTTGAGTTTGCCTGTTAGACTAGAACTGAGTCTGTGCTGAGACATTTATAGAGAAAGATTGATGACTCAAGTAGTGACAAACATTATCAACGACTTTATCAAAAATGAAAATGGCTGCAGGGCTGTTAATGCCTGTGCTGTATCATCAATTAAAGATATGTGTCTGTGTCTGTGTCTGTCTGTGCAGAATAATGGCGGCTGCAGTAAGTATGCTCGCTGTGACTATATGGGTCAGGGTCAGAGGAACTGCTCCTGCTTCAGAGGCCAAATCGGCGATGGCTTTGAGTGTCGGGGAAACACCAACAATGTGAGTCACTTGCCCTTTGACCTCCCACTTACCTCTGACCTCGCAATGCCACGCCTCCCCCCTTCACAGGAAGTTGTGTTGTCTATGTGTCTGTCTTACAGGAGCTGTTCCGACAGACAGAGAATGCCTTCTTCCATCAAATGCTATTAGTGAGTCGCTGTCGGTTCCATTAAAATCCACTCAGTTTTTGATTTGATGCTACTTAGTAAAAAAATATGGATGGTTTGTTTAAAATTAAAGTGTGACCCCACACAGGACTACAATATATAACAGCTGGCCAATCAGAGCTCCTGCTGCTCTGTGGGTTGGACTGCTCACACATGATTAAAGTTAAAACATGTGTCTTCTAACCATAATAATTCAATAGCCAGCCCAGCAAGAAGTTAGTCTCTCACCAAGATCAAGTATTTCCTCAAGACGAACGAATGAATTCCACTGTGCTACTTTCTGGTGTGACTGGGCCATTGGAGCCATCTGTGAGCTCAGCACTTTGTGGTAGATTTATACGCTGCTATGTGAATTGAACAATGGAGTGATGTAGGGAGCACCAAGGTTTCAGTGTGAGTCATCTGGGTTCCTCAGATGCAGAGGAAACGCAAACAGGAATGCACAAAGGTTCCTAGTTTAGTTCCTATTATTAGTTTCTCTTGTTGTAGTTCTTGGAACTTTTTGGTCAAAAAGGGGCTTAAGTTGAACTTGTTTTGTGATACATACACCAGATCCATCATCACATAAGTTGACTTTGTTTTCTTTGTTTCTCAGCTATCAGAAATCCGTAATCTTTATGGTGATGGACCTTATACTGTCTTTGTCCCTGTGGCGGAAACCAACAACCAATCCACTGTCAGTACAGTATCTGCTTTTTGTATATTATCTAATGCAACAACAATATTACCAATCTTATTTTGAGCCATGTTTATCTCTAGAAATACTATATGACCATTTACAAACAGAATCACAATAATATAACATTAATAATAATAATCTTGTATGTGAGTCATAAAGCTGCCTTCTATGTACGTTATTGATGTGCGTGTGCGTGTGTGTGTGTGTGTGTGTGTGTAGATCCTGGAATGGAGAGATGCCGGTCATCTCAATGAGCTGGTTCGTTACCACGTTGTTTCCTGCGAGACTTTGACCTTGAGTGACCTCAAAACCACTGAGCGCGCTGTCTCACTGTCAGGAAACATGCTGCACTTCAGCCTGCAGCAGGTAAACACGCGCACACTTGTCATGATGTTGGCTTTTCAAAGACAAACAGGTGTTGGACTGAATAAATCGTTCATCAACTCAATGTAGCAAAAGTAAATACACATCTTTAAATAATGTTTTACAGTGTGAATGGAATTTAATCTTTTACTGTCACTGACTCACTCCCCGGAGTCTTAAAGGGAGCCTCTGAATTTAGTTCAATTTTATTTGTACACACATTATCTCAAGGCACTTTACAGAGTAAGATGAAGACCTTACGATATTATATGGGAAGTTGGGGGGAGATATGATCTCTTTTCCTTGTTCCTAGTTCAGCTGGAGGCTTTTCACTGAGTTACTGGGACATCCTGATAGAAAAGAATTACCAAACAAATTAGTTGTTAAAGGACCCTCATTGTAATCATAACTCTAAAGGGATAACGTCTGTCACAGGTAATTTAATTTAATTCATATCTTATCTCGTACTTCTCCAATGCCTAAAAACTTCTGTTATGAAACCAGTATTAAAAAATAATAACTTTGACCCAAATATTCTGTCAACCCCAGGCCAATCTCGAACCTCACCTTCTAATAATGATAATAACATATATGACAAATACCAGTCTGGATTTTTGCACCTCTCATAGCACAGAAACTGCCCAAGTAAAAGTTGTTAATGACCTGAGGATCAGATCTCAGTTCTAGTGTTTTTTGACAGCATTTGGAGCATTTGGAGCGAACACGATGTACAGTGTGGGAACTTTGTGTGTCTCCGCCTGCAGGGTTCAGTCTGGATCAACAACAGATCGAGGATCGTGAAAAGTGATTACACCACAACGAACGGAGTCATTCACCATATCGACACGTTGCTGACGCCTTACAGGCTGAAGGACAAACCAAGCCTCGAGACTAAGATGGTGCGTGGAGTTTGATTGGGGTGGGAAAATGATTGATGATATCGATCAGATTCAACAGGCAGTGTGAGCTCTCTCTCGCCCTCTCTCTCTCTCTCCCTCCGTGTAGATGAACTTCACCTCAGCAGCTACGTTTTATGGCTACAGTCGCTTCTACAATCTCGTGGAGGTAAAAAAATGTGAAGTGAAATAAATGTTTTGGTGCATTGTGTTACACGCTGGTGTTGCTATTGAACTCTGTTATCAGCAGTGGTGGAAAAGGTAGTTAACAATACTACAACAATTTAGCTACAATTTAAAGTCATTAAAGTTTTACTTCAGCAAAATGAACTTAAAGTCAAAAGGTTGAGAGTCACAGTGGGAGGACAGGTGTCGAAGGGCGTGCAGTTGTAGTTTGCAACATGTTACAGACAAATTCACATTAAAAGTTGCATTTTATTGATCATTTCACTCTGGTAAAATAAATCGCAGAGCAAAACGAAAGAGGCAAAACTCTAACAAATATGAAAGATGTTTTTTTTTTAGTTGAATAGCTCTCTATGTCTGTTATACAAATTGTGGTCATCCAAGTCCTGCTGTCTCTAAGAGCTTTACAACAGCAGTGAAATGTCTTCAAGAACCTCAAACAACTCCAGTTGCTCCCAGAGTTATATAACCTGACCTACTGTAGAAACTGTCGCTACATTTTTCATCACTGACTGACTTTGTGGCTTCCTCTTGTTCAACGTGAGATTTGTTTGCAAGGTGTGAGAGCGTGAGGCAGAAGCTTGAAAGACAGGCCTCTCACACCAGATATGTGAACGGGCAACTGATTTATTTTCATTATTGATTAATCTGGTGATTATTTTCTTGATTAATCTAATATTTTTTTGGTCTGTAACGTAATGAAAAGATTCCCAGAGCCCAAGGCGACGTCTTTAAATGTCTTGTTTTGTCCAACTAACAGTCCAAACCTCCAAAACATCGAGTTTTACAATTACAACACATTAGCAGCAAATTCTCAAACTGGAGAGGATGGAACTGGCTGTCTGGCATTTCTGCTTGAAGAATTATTCAAACAATTAATGCAGATTCACTGACCAATCTTTCCAGCCCTATTGGCAACTCTGCAGTTGAGGCTGCTGGGTATGTCATTAGTTTTGCAGATATTCACCATGAACTCAATGTTGACCTCATGATGGCACTAGAGGAAAAGTCAGAGTCATCCTGAGTCATCCTGAGGTGAACACGAATAACAGATTTCATGGCAATGCATTCAGTATTTGTTGTAAAGCCCTGCTGCTAGATTGGCTAACAATATTTTGAGTTAGAGAGAAGTTGTATTTTTTTTCCATTCACTTTATATAAATAGATATAAGATCAGACTCTCAATATAAAAGGAGTTGGCAAAAAAAGCAAAACAGATTAAAGCACAGTTACTACATATTATACTGGTAGTGAAAGTATTGCTTGTAATCTGTACTATGAACACTTTGTGCAGGATGCAGGGTTACTGCCTGTGCTCCAGGAGTCGATCCACCAGCCGTATACCATGTTCTGGCCCACAGACCAGGCCTTCAACTCCCTGCCAGCTGAACGACAGCGCTGGCTCTCCAGCCCCGACCACCAAGAAGAACTGGTTGCTACTTTGAAGGCCCACATCATACGCAACTATAGGGTAGGAGAAAGAGAAGTCCCTAAAAGATGAAGAGTTCAGCCCCAAAGGAAAACATTATTAAGAAAAGCTTTTGTGTAATGCAGCAACTAACAATTATCTTCATTCATTATTCTTAATCACTGTGTTTATAAAATGCTTGGCCACACTTTTGCATATGCCACAATTACTGCTTAAGCTCATGACATAAAGTAAGAGTTCATCACATTTGAAGGCTCATTTTTCATGTCTGTTTGCTGCAGGAGTTGCATTTACTTTTTTTTCGCTTCAGAAATCAACAAAATACGGAACGTGAACACATCAACCTGATTTCATGTGTGTGTGTGTGTGTGTGTGTGTATGTGTAGGTGATGGGTATCAGTCATCCGGATAAATACTCGTCATTCCGCACCATGCATGGATCCACCATCAAGTACATCTGTGACAAGACCCTGGTGGTGAGACAGTACACACTGATACAAACCAAACAGGTAGCCATGGTCTCTGGCAGCACCTGGCAGCTGCGTTTCATGTTACCATGGTAACGTTGGAGAGTACACAGTTTCATATTTACAGTGACGACATCCTGGATTCCAAACCTGATGATGAGTTTGGTTCATGAGGTCCAGACCAACGGAGAAAATGATCCATTGTTGTCTTTTAGTTCTGATCTGTTTCATGCTTACACTGGCTTTTTACAAAATTACCAAGCCAAGTTTTTGATTGGTGCTTCATCAGAGCTACATGGCCTAGAACATGGCCATCACCTCACAAAAAGTAATTGATCATGAGCATTATTAACTGAGACTGAAACTGGACCTGGTGACAAACGAGCAGAAACAGAGACAAAACGAGACATTTTGTTCAGTATTATTATAATTATTATTATAATTATTATTATTATTATTATTATTATCATGACATGTTTTCTCATTATTACCAGAATAACTTTATCTTCTTAAAGACCTATCATGCTATAATGAGAAAATTTAGTTTGAATGAGATATGTTGATTTTGTCAAGTAACGAGGAAGTTTTGTGAAATTTCAAAATAAACTGATTAGGTTGCCTTTGTCAAGGTTGGTGGTAAAAGCAGAATAATCAGGTGTCTAGTAAGTTTCTCATTATAACGAGAAAATTGGCAAATAATGTTTTCGACATGGTGGCAGCAGTACACTGCCATACTGTTTAAATGTCATATCCACCATCATACAATCCTGTAGTTGCTCTGTTTTGTTTTCACATCACAAATCAGCTGCATCAGAGTACGTCCGGACCTGCCTTTTCTGGTAGCCTGATTCTTTCTTTAAACAATGGTTGATTTTCTTTTGTGTGTGTGTGTGTGTGTGTGTGTGTGTTTTCAGGGGGCTGTATTGATTAATGATAATGCAGCCAGGGTCGTGGAGCGCTACCTGAACTTCAAAGAGGGCGTGGCCTATGGCATCGACCAGTTACTGGAGCCACCGGGCCTGGGAGCGCACTGTGACGGCATCGAGAACAAAACTGTTAACGTTAGTTGTGTTAATACTATTACACTTAAAACTGCAACTGCGTTAATACTCACAGTACAAATGTTAATACTTTTATTTGTTGTTACAGAATATTTACTTCTCATTTACCAGGATTGTCTTTTGAGATCAAGCACAATTATTTGGCTTAAGACCCAGTCCAATGTAACATGACAGTGTGAGCTGACAAAAAGTACAAAACACAAACACAATTCATAGATAGCAACAAAATACAAACAATACTCAACAAAATCAACTAATTGCAATGGAATCGCTGCGGTCAGTGGATCACAGGTGAAGTAAATCAGTGTAAATCTTCCCACTCAGTTTATTTTTGAGGAACTTCATCATGCACATTTATGGCAATGGTGAGCTGTCTCATCAATGCTGACCTCTGAGGGAGAGAAGAGGAAGCTATCGTGGCTTGTATTTAAGCTCTTCTGTTCAAGTATAAAGTGATTCCCGAAAGAGGAATGGTTTGCAGTCGACTAAGAGACAGGAATCGATGGTACATATACGCTACGGCTCAAGAGTTTGCAGTCACTTACAAATGTCCTCAGAAATGTTGAAAATGACAATCAATGATTAATGGAATCATTAATCATAAATCATCCGAATCAACAGAGGCCCATTTTCAGCAAACATCACTTCTGTCTTCCAGTGGCACTTTGTGTTACCTAATGTTAAGAGGCTAATTGATCATTAGGAAAAAAAAACCCCTTGAGCAATTAGCACAGCTGAAAACTGTTGTGCTGATTAAAGAAGCAATTAACTGGAATAGTTGAGTTTCTGGAGCGTCAGCCTTTGTGGGTTTGATTATGTGATTATATCATATGGCCAATCTTCTGAAACTCGTCACAGTATTCTGGTTTGGAGAAATCAAGATTTTGTGAAAGAAACTGCAAAACACTGAAGGTGCCATATAACAGTGTGTGCTACTCCCCTCACAGAACATTGCAAACTGGCGATTTTCTGGTGTGACTGGGTTTTAATGTAGCTACCACCAGAGCTGCTGTTGTTACGAGTGCCAGTGTTTCAAGTATGACTCCACTTTGCAAATATTCATCCCACACTGCTGCGGTTATGAAATTGATCTCAGCCTTTGTCCTTTGTCCTCTGTCTTAAAATGTCTCAGGGGCGCTGTGGGAGCTGCATCTACCCTCCATCCTGTCCCCTCAGACACCACGATACAGTAAGATCTGCCTGTCTGCTAACAAATGTGAACATCAGCAGCTTGTGCAATACATAAACTTTGTAGAAGTAAATGTCATTCCTGCCTTTTTCCAGGGAAAGACGGAGCGCTGTTTAAACTTGCGCCACAGGTATGCGATTGGGTACCGACGTTGGTATCCTGACCTGGACGATCATTTCAGCCGAACGGGCTGTAAGAGAATTTGTCAGTTTCCTGCCTGGCTCCAAAAATGCTGCACCAACCACTACGGCCGAGACTGTCAAGGTAAGGAGGGGAGGGAATATGTGGGGATGCTCCTGTTGTCAGACTGAGTTCTTGTCCTTGACTTTATCTAAACTGAGATTTGACAGCCGCTGCAGCCGTTCTGACATTCTCTCCAAAACCTTTCTACTTGCTTTTAACAATACAAAACTCAACAATATGATATATCAATCATGTGTATTAAAAAAACACATTAGTTTTTCTATCAAAACAAATGGCTAAATGTGATTCAGTTGGACTATAATTTGGTATCAGGGAGCTTGATGAGCTTTCCTCGTCCAGACTGTGTTTTTAACCCTCCTCCTTCCCTGTGTGTTTCAGTTTGTCCAGGTGGTGTTGAGGCCCCTTGTGGCAACCATGGATCCTGCGACGATGGTGTACGTGGTTCAGGAAGATGTAGGTGTTCCATGGGCTTCAGAGGAGTTGCCTGTGAACTGTGTAACGCTGGCTACTACGGCCCCAACTGCACAGGTACAAACACAAACATCACTGTAGAGAAGGTTGCCCTCTTTCACTCAGCATGAGACGACTTCCAGAGCGCTCACACATACATGTTGAGTTAACGCTTGACGGTAGGAGTGCCTGACGCCTGGTGCTGGCACAATTGACATCACAGTTTCCCGCTCAGAACACACAACATAGCCGGCTTTTGAGAAAGCTGCCAGATCATTGTCGGTCGCGGATGCTGATTTGGTGCCATGCTAGCTGCCTGTGCAGTGCTAAAGGGAAGTAAACAGGAAATAACTTTACGACAAGACAAATACACACCAGATTCACCAACTGCCCCTGCCACCTCTCTCCAGGGTTCATTTCTCCGGATTGTGTGCCGCTATGTAAATAAACTCTGATCATAGAGAACAGGCAATAATCAACCTCTCCTTGGCGTTGAATGCCAGGCTGGATCTGCACCTACCGTGCTCTCTCGGGATATTTGCAAGGTGATTTTAATTGGCTAGCGTCTGCCATTTGAAAATTTTAACTTTTCTCAACTTCTACAGCGCGCAATGCAAGCACAGTGAAGTCTATAGTCTGTGTTTAACCTGCAGCAGATTCAGATGGACGTGCCGTCAGTCAGTCAGAGAAGCAGCCGGGAGCACCGGCACAGAAGCCAAATCTACTGTAGGTAATATACTGACTATGGACTATACACTTGAAGCAGTGCTTGATAGTTAATAATAATAATAAAATAAAAATTAAGTCAAACTTTTTGTTGTTTTAGGTCCCAAAACATTCAAACACAGATGATTTTACCTGGCTGACACCTTAAGCAGTTTCTACCTCTACACGCACGCATGCATGGACGCATGCAGACACACGCACGCACACACACACACCAGTTTGTGGGTCTAACTGACCAGATAAGAGCTACTTTCAGCATTGCTTCGGCAATTTCCTTCATCATTCAGCTCCCAAGTTTTGCTTTTACATTCCTGATGTCTTTTCAGCAAACGATTTCAACTTTCAGCAGTTGACCAGCTGCTGTATCCACCATAGTTGTATATTAATTGACCGAATTAATTGACAGCGCTTTTCTAGGCTGCAGTTAACGATTATTTTCATTACCGACTAATCAGCAGATTATTCCCGATTAATCAATTAATGGTTTTTCGTATAAAATAACAGTGAGAGTGACATTGACAGATTCTCAGAAGCCAAATTATGTCTTTAATTTGTGAATTCACATGACAAAGAAAATCAAAACATCTCATTTGAGAAGCTGAAACCAGAGAAATTTAAATTTAGCTTGAAAAATAACTGAAAAACTAGAAAATAGTTGCTGATCTAATTGTTACAGATCTATAACCACCCCCCCTGACTAAAAAAAAAAACATGAAGTCAGCAGACAGTCTCACCTCCATCAGCTCTCCAGCAGTCTGTCGCCATAGCAACGCTCCACACTCACCATCACACAGCTGGGTGTGCTTCCAGCTCAAGACAAACCTGCCAGCTGTTTTCACTCAGTCTCCCAAAGATTAAACAGCTGCTGATTATCTTCTGCGTAGGTTCTGTGAGCTGTGATGAATTCAGAACTTGTAGTTGCAGTTCTTGCCATGGTTTCTGAATTCATCCTGAGCTGATCCAGAATCAGAGAGTTAACTGATTACAGCAAACCCAGACCTCCGGTAAGACCACCCACCTTGCACCTTAGGTACGGCTCCATCTTCCCCACAGCTTTAATCCACACACATCCTCCATATATATTGATTGAAGAATGCTTAAAATACTGGAATTGACATCAGAATGAGTAGCCATAAGAAAAAGGCAAAAGATACGGAGATGAAATCGTGCTATTTACCGCAGCATGTGGCTGGTGGCAAGAATGGTTCAGCCGCTGTCAAGCTTAAACTTTCAGAGCGAGAAGATCTATGTTCAGCAATTTTATCCAAACTGAAAAAAATTGCGGAAAGGAAAACAACAAGAAACTGAATACATTGACAAATGCCTCTGCCACAGTGGAGCGAGCGGTGGATGGAGCAAGTGCAAGAGTGACTGAGGTTGAAAAACTGCGTTAGCATGGTAGAGGATGGAGGCCTGCGCTCTGACCAGGCACTAGACGATCTGCTGTGGCACAACAGGTTTCTCAGTTTTCTGGCTGAACAACAGGTGATCACAACGGCATTGAATCTAAAAACTCTGTAGTTCAAAGGGAAGAAGGTATCAGTGGACCCTGACTTCTCCGAGGCACCACAGAGGAGACAGGACTACAAGATCAAAAAACACCTGAAGGAAAAAAATAAAAGTTTCAAACACTTACTCAAAACTCCTTATCTGGCGGTGTTGAAAGTACGCCTGAAAGACGGTGTAAAATCTTCCAACTCAGTGTGGAAGGAAGGCAGCGGAAGGTCTGCAGCCACTGGGAATTTCACCAACAGTCTCAGAGGAAGGGAGACTGGAAAAAGAACTTCGAATCAGATGGCAAACGACAAGTGGGAAACACAGATGCTGGGGGCCATGGATGAACCGGAGGGTGATACATCTGGAGATTAATGAATAAACATGCAGGGAGTTAATTGATTTACCTACACACTGCTGAGATCAATAAGAGATTGAAGTGGACTCCAGAGCGATAGAGCGATAACAGACCTGACTAATATAGAGCTTTGATTTTTGTGAAACACCAAATTCCTTGTTATGATGACGCAGATTACTTGCGTACCTCTGGAGACTGATATTTGATCAGATAATGGAAATGAATTTTGGGGCCACATATAGCATCTGCCCCGTCTAGCTCTAACCTGATCTTGATTTTACTTTATTAATTTTTCTTTACTCTGTTTACACGAGGATGGAGATGGCAGAAGGTTATGGCTACGAAACAAGTATAGACAACTAGCAATACATATGGATTCCCAATATGGGTCTTATAAGTTCAGATGCTTTGAGCCAGGAAGTCAAATAATATTCAGTACGAATCAGCCGAATACATTGGCAAATTTTTGAAGCGCTGTTTTGGAATAAAGTTTGGGGGGGGGGACCCTCACAATTTTCCCTAGCCACAAGCGAGACAGAGATGGATGACGTGAGCTGATGGCATACCTCTTCTGTCATATGCTGTTTCTATTTACATTTTTATCACTATGGTTTACCTGGTATTCATTGCACATTGTGAAATGCCTGATATCAATATCTGACACAGATCGTGAACCAGGACTCTATTAGACCCATCTCGCGCAGTACGACAAACAGTAACACAACTTTATTCCTCTTTCATACCGATCGTTGTCTATGAGGAAATGAACCAGACTGTTACCGCAGGAACCCCGGTCGCCTGAAATAACTCCTCTGTCTTAACTCTGTTTATAGATTATCTTAAATTACCAGAGTCAGGGAGGTTGAGTCATGTTTTTCTCTCTCAGCCTGTAGCTGTGGGCAGCAGGGAAGGTGTGATGACGGCATTGAAGGTTCTGGACAGTGTGTCTGTAAACCAGGCTGGCTGGGTGATCGCTGCCAAACAGAAATAGGTGAGTTTCCCTCCAGAATGTGAGGGCCTGAACACATTCAATATGAATCCAGGATGTTTAAAAGGAAAAGTCTGTATTTTTCTTATTCTCAACAAATCCCATGGGAAGATCAAAGCCAATACTTAGTCTTTTAATACTTCCCGACCCTGTTGATGGCTCTCAGCTCCAGGCCCATTGGTTCCAATTGAATATGTTAATTATACGAAAAGACTCACAAATGTACAGTAACCAGTGGCAACAGAAACCAACGTGTCACCCAATGCAACAGCGTGTCCCATTGATGTGTTTTTACACAACAATGGAGCTGTTTGGCACAGAAGAAGAAGAATAACAGGCTTTGGATGCACACATGATAGTTGTTTGTTAACGACAATAATAAGAGAAAAGAATAAATCTCCAAATCTGTTTCACAGATTTTATTGAATTTCAGTGGAAAATTTGGCCATGGGACATTTAATGAATGATCACTTTTTGTTGTGTTTCTGGGTTAGTGGCTCCACAGTACAGCTATTTGATCGGTCTTTGTACAGTAAACATTTATACACATACACGTTGTGCAGCCTCGTTGGACATGTCTGTACTCTGAGTGCTTTCTAGTTGTTACTTGTCATTAAGACACGTAGCTTATATCGACTCTTGAACTTTATTTTTACAGTTTTAAAGCCCTGTTTACCTTCTTACCTTCCTTCTTTGATGAATCATCCATCTGTCTGTCTCTCCAGGCTCAATCCCAGAGGAGTGCCGGCAGTGCCATGCTCAGGCTGACTGTGTGCCAGGTGCTGGTTGTCAGTGCAAATCTGGATTTGAGGGGAACGGCACCTTCTGCAGCCCAGAGCCACGTGAGTGTTCTGCTGCTCAGGAGGACGATTGACCAGCTGAAGATACTGAATCTCTTCAGTCTTTTGTCCGCATGATGATAGTGACTCTTAAAGGAGTTAACGGGGCTATTTGTACGTGTTGCTATTGATACATAGCCAACATCAGCAATAAGAGCTGTTTACTTACCAGTCTAGAAGAAACGTCAGCATCAAACTTTGTTCCTTTACTCACAAAGGTCTCCAGCATTGGAAAGGAACCGTCTTGTTCTGCTTCTATTTTTATCACTTCTTTTCTTCTACTGAAGTTAGCATGCTAATCAGCTAGCTGTGGTCCAGAGTTGAAAGTGATAATTATTATATTTATAATGCCAATAATAACTTATTCAAAAACTGATCAGAAAGTGATTTGTAGCCACAAAAGGAAGAGAAAAATCCTGGAAACAGAAATCTGACCTATAAAAGGTAAAGTCAGTATGTTAGATCACCCTGAACTTTCCGTGGCTCACAGAAACGACTTCAGACATTTTCTTTGTCATTGAGATGAAGAACACTCCTTCTATGGAGTTAAAGGGTTGACTGTCAGCTTTAATTTGAGGGCGTTAACATCGACATTGGATCAGCAGTTTAGGAACTGGAGCTCTTTTTTTACACGGTTAATTTTAGGGAACAAAACGTAAAAACTTACAAAAACTTTGAAGTCAAACTCCTGGTATTGTCCCTGCAATACTCTGTCAGGTCTTGAGTGCAGCCAGCTTCACTTCCTGTTTGTTTTGAGGATTTTTTTGGCTTCATTCTGGTTTTCAGCGGCGACAGACATGATTATTCATTATTATAAAAATATCAAGTATTGCCACATTAAAGACATTGTTGGCAGATATTTCAGTTGTCTGAGGTGAAAAATCAGTTGATATTGAAAATCGCATTGTGCTCTCTGCTCTTAATGTTCTGCATAATAATGAGGATGTGTAAATTTTGAAGATGACACGTTTACAGAGCAGATACAGAGCAGAGCAGACGTTCTGAGTCCACTATGTGAGCAGATCAGATTACAGTTTTATTAAACACCCTGCAGCTCCAGACCTCTGCTCTGAGTACAACGGTGGCTGTCACCAGAACGCAGACTGCAACCAGACGGGACTGGTCGTCAACTGCACCTGTCACAGTGATTACCAAGGAGATGGTTATTCCTGCGAGCCCATCAACAGGTGGGCGTAGCATAATTTTTTCTGGATCACATTCTTGTTCCTTTTCTGGTTTCCTCTTCTTGATCCAAGATAATTGATATTAACTAAAGACGTTCACAATTATAGATGTGACATCAGGCTGCTGTATCTGTTTGTCCTTATTCCAGGTGTGTTGAGGAGCAAAACGGTGGCTGCAGTGACTTTGCCTCCTGCAAGTTCACTGGTCCAGTAAGTAAAAACCTTGCAAAGAAACCCCCAAAAAAACACTGTATATTTATCTTTTTTTCTTGAAAATCTGTCCTTTTGTAAAGGTCTGTACATGCACTTGAGTCATCTGATTATTCATGTCTTTCTGTAGTAATATAATTTCTGACTTTGCATACACAACTTTCAAGATTCCCAATCAATCAATCAATTAATCAATCAATCTCCCAGTAAGATTAAGAGGAGTGGTGTTCTTCTTGTTTTTTTAATCTGGTTCCTCCAGAACGAGCGTGAGTGTGAGTGCCTGGCAGGATACGTGGGTAATGGAGTCCAATGTCTGGAGAAGGTGGTGCCCCCTGTCGACCGCTGCCTGGAAGACAACGGAGGCTGTGACCCAGTGGCCTCTTGCAAGGACCTGCATTATCATGGTAACACATTTTTAATGACTTCCATTACAAGAGTAACAGATACGTTATGATCTTTGTACCATATATACTGTACATACATATATATATATATAGTATATACAGTATATACATAATATATATATATATATATATATATATATATATACACACATACATACTTGGGTAAGAGATCTACAATGACTTTTGTTACCATGGTTACACACCGGTAGTAATGTCTGTTACCATGGTAACATACCTGTACTGCCTTTTATTACCATAGTAACACGTCCACAATGACTTTTGTAACCATGGTAACACTTTCATAATGACGTCTGTTCCCATGTTAACTCATTGCGACACATCAGTGACAGTAGCAGTTGCCTCTGCAGCACGTCGATAATATCCTCCCTGTAACATGTGAAATAAGCCCGCAGCTGCAGTGTAGTCATGTGTTGTAAGGCTTCTGTTGAGCGGGTGCCATTTTGTCCTACAGTCCTACTCCAATGCAGTTGCTATGGTAACTGTAGATTCTAGAGTAGCTGACCTTTATAGTGTTCGTGTTACCATGGTGATATTATGAAGGACATTCTTTATTAGTTCCAGGTTTGAATAGTGATTTTTCTGGGACTGGTAAACAAACAGCAACAAGCACTCAGTGGGAATACAGCAGGCAACGCCCAGAGCTCGTTAAGGCCCAGAGCTCGTTAAGGCCCAGAGCTCGTTAAGGCCCATTGAACATGGGGCTTGTTGAGGCTCAGAGCCTGTTAATACCCAGAGATGATTGGTACCTGGTGCTCATTAATTAGGGTGTATTGATTATGCAGAATTCATAATACATACTGAAGTTTTGTAATAAAATGTTTTCAATACAGCGATGGAAGCAAACACCAAGAGACACCACGACTTTCTTTAATCAGTTTTCATATCAGTATATTTTTCAGCCTCAAAGTGAATTGAATTTTGTTTTCACTTGTAAAGATTAAATTGTTGTCCTGAGCAGCGCAGGAGGACAGTAATCTGAGGTAATGGTCAAGGTAACATGGTTATTGTGGTTCAGCCAACACAGCTGGAGTGTTCCACCTGCGCTCTCCAGAGGGGAAGTACAAGATGAACTTCAGTGAGGCCGACGCTGGCTGCCAGGCTGAGGGCGCCACGCTGGCCAACTTTAAACAGATGGGAGATGCACAGCAGGTAAGCCACCAACTACAGAAGGGGTTTCCATAGAGACAGCAGGCAGGTCAATACACCTCGCACATATACATACACTATATTTATTAAAAACATATTTGCGCAAACAAACACTATTATTTTGCTGGAGAATGCATCTGCACTCCCCTAAACAGTGGCCCTGTTTTTGAGACGTTTTACTCCAAAGATTTAACTACATTCAATTTGATCCTAAAGATACCACCTTCAGCCAGACAGGAAGTGGTATTTCATTAGTGCCGAGCCTGACTGTAAAGAAGAGATATGAAACCACCTCTTTGATCACACCGGGGCTGAATTGGTGCGAAACTCAAGCAAATATCAGGAGAAGATATGAATTTTATGATTTTTTTGGATTGCTCAGGCCTTCATTAGCAAACAAAGCCACAGAGCTCCACTGTTGTCAGAGAAGTATTAAAACACATAAGTGAGCAGCACTGTTTCATCGGATGGCATATTCCTTCATTATCACGAATACACATACTGTACTTTATTGTGACTCAATCTTACACACTACCTACCTGCTGCCGGAAATACTCACAAGAGCAACAAATGTATATTAATCCACTGCTGGAAATAGTCCCAAACAAATTCACAATTTACTCCTGTTACTGCTGCTCTTCCAGAAAACTGTTTGTTGATTCATTAATCCACTAATATTTATCTTCTCATCTCACTCTTGGAAGGAAAGCAAAAAAGTATATTTCCCCAAATGTTGAACCAGGAAGCCAGATTTATTCTTGACGTCAGGGGTTAATCGAAGTCGAGCTGTAGATAACACAGTGTAGGTTTTGATTAATTGTCCACCTGCTGATAGAACCAGCGGAACAAAAGACAGATGTGTCGTACATGATCAAGCTATATTGTGCTTTAATTGTATTCCTCATGGTAACTATGTTTTCATTCTTTCATTTACTTTGTGATACAAGCGACTTCACTACTCAATATGAAACTGCACTCTGCTGGCACCGTATTTAAGTGTTTGCAGTGGCGTTGTCTTTTTTAATGAAAATCAGACAGAAAAATGTCTTTCTTTTTTTTTTTCAACTTGTTTGATGTTTTCTTCCCTGTCAACAATCTCCACCAGAAACTTGTAATTGAAAACACAACTAGCCAATCGCAGTTCCTAGTCCCCACATGGTATCTCTGTAGCTGCTGTAGCCCTGATGTGTAGTTACATTATTTAGTTACAGGACTGAAAACTGAACATCTGTGGCTGTCAGTCGGTCCTTCGAACAGCTGAGGTCAGATTCAAAATCCAACCTGTGGTTTCATACACAGTGTTTACAACCACATTGTAACAACCTCCTCCAGTTAATTGTGAATTACTTATTCTCACCTATCGGCTGTCCCGACCACAGCAGTGCATGCTGGAACTTGTAATCAGTCATTTACCTTGCCGTTGTCATTCTTCTGTGGTCCTGACAGATGGGGATGCATCTGTGCGTTGCTGGCTGGATGGAGGGGGGTAAGGTGGGATACCCAACACGCTTCCCCTCAGTCAAGTGTGGAGACAACCACGTGGGTCTGGTTATCTACAAAGACCCTGTGGACCAGAGCAGCAAGTACGACGCCTACTGCTACAGAGTCAAAGGTACTACGGCAACACAGTCTCTGTGTTCAGACAGAGGCAGGTCCACCCTACTGACAGATCTGTGGAAATGCTCCCTTCTTTTTAAAAAAAAAATGTATTACTGTTGCTCATAGTACTTGAACAGCATCTATTGTTTTATATGAATTTTTAAATTTGTCTTCAGCAGAGTCACCAACCTCTCTGTGGATTCAGTTTAACTCCAGACATTAACAGGCTGTTTGTATTGGCTTTATAATGCAGAGCTGAAAACTGAAAATTTTGAAAATCGAATGGGAAAAAAAGAAAAGAAAAACAGAATTCAATCATAAAACAAAGAAAACAAAAACCTCACATTTGAGAAGTTGGAATCGAATAATATTTGGTGTTTGGTCTTGATAAATTATTCAGAAAATATATAAATATAAAATAAAAAATATGAGTGATGTAATGTTTGTGTGCAGATGTTAAGTGTACCTGTCCTGCTGGTTACGTTGGAAGCGGAGACTTCTGTAACGGCGTCCTGACCAGCGTCCTCGCAACCTACAGTAACTTCTCCACCTTTTACAAGGTGAGTGTGACAGTTGGACCATTTAGATGTTTAATAATTCTAGTTTATTATTATTTGAGTCAGTACTTTCAGTTTTACCGTCATTCCTATCAGTAATAACAACATTCAGTGTGTTCATATTTAGAGCATGGTGCTGTGCTTGCATTACCTGATGAGCATTTTCATTCATGCTTCATCAGGACTATGTGGATATGGTTTGATCAGATTTTATTGACAATGGCCTGGAAACATAAGCAAACAACTGCTGTCACATTTTCATTAGTTGTTAAGTCCTGGTTAGTGCACAGAAGTCGATATTTGTACTCCCAAAAACCAGATGACCTGAGCTGACCTGAACCAGGTCCATGCACTGTAATCTACCTCTGTGGTCTGTTCAACTTATTAACTTTGGATCCTCTGTTCAAAACTCTAAATTTGTGATGTGTTTGTGTGTTGTTACAGTTGCAGGATTTTACAAAATATAAGCATGTATCACAGATGGACTATCACTGATGGATTTTACGTCTTGACTGTAAATCTAAATAACTTCGCTGTCCTCTCCATCTCTCTCTCTCTCTCTCTCTCTCTCTCTGTAGTTGCTGTTGGATTACAGCGGCTCAACCTCAGGTGGCAAACAGCTCGTTGAATTTCTTTCTCACAGGAAGTCTGAGGTGACGCTCTTTGTTCCTCATAATGCCGGCTTTGCACCAAATCAGGTGATGTACAACCTCAACACTTCAATAGTTATTTAATAATGACTAAAAGGGTCTTTAACATAAAAACATTTAGAAACACAAAACAAGACATTAAAAATATAAAAATAAACAATTTTGACATATGTATGTTGACTAATTAAAATATCTAAAGATTAAAAAAAGAGGCCCAAGGATTGAGCCCTGGGGTACTCCATACATCATGTTGGTTGTTGCATTATTTAATTTGTTAACGATAACGAGGATCTACATTTCCAGTATCCAATAATGGCCTTGCATTTCTGATTTAATTAATATTTAGAACAAGTCACCTCTGTGCTTGTTCAGATGTATGCTATTGAGCCTGGAAAGTATATGAGTATTTGAATGTTTTTAATGTGTTTATTGTGTTTCATATTATATATACTTGTAAGTAAAGGATTAAAACAAAGAACATGGATGACAGAGTTTCAGTGAAGTGTACATCACTTACATGCTTTGATTTTTAAGATAGAGACGGATCAACACCAATGCATATTAACTATATTAACCTAATCAAATTTTTAAGGTTTGGAACTGAATTATTTCCATCAGGATACTAGGTTCAAACAGATGGAACGGTCAGTGAAATCTAACGTGTTTCTACTCTGTGTTTGTGTGGTTAGACTCTGTCTGGTAGAGATCTTGAGTATCACATCTCAGCCAATAACAGCGTGCGACCATTCATGGATCTGAGACATGAAGAAGTCATCACATCGTGGCTCGGGTTCAACCTGACGGTTACCCATGGCAACAATGAGGTCAGAAACACACACACACACACACACACACACACACACACACACACCCCTCCCTGGGTGTCTGTGGTTCATCACCAGGTGTCCACAGGAGAAGTTATAGTTTTTGACAAATATATTAACAAATTACTATTACGTGTTTATATAAAGCTTAAAACTGCTAAATAAGGGGACTCAAAGTGTTTCCATGTTTATGTTTATGTTCATAAAGTTTGATTTTGCGTCTCTGTTATTGTAAATTATCTCCCTCAGAGCTATAAACTGGTGAACAAACGGCTGCTGTTGGAGTGGGACATTCCCGCTGTAAACGGGATCATCCATGTTATCGAGGCCCCGCTGACGGCGCCCCCGCCACTGGTGAGTAAAGATGGTTTAACCCTGAGCTTCTGACAATTAGGACAACTTCTTCCTCTGATTGTGAACATGCAAGTCACTCACTAGATTTCAAGCCAATTGAGTTTCAATTTACCATTATGCAAATATTAAGAGTTGGTTTGTCAAGATAAACACAAACACACAATGAGATAAGGTCATTAAAAAAGGTGCAGTCAAACCTCAAATAATGAAAAACTATTTAGAAAACATGATGGAAATATGACATTTCTGTTCTGTTGGTTTCATGTACAAATGTGAGGAATTACAGTCTCCTCATAGGTCCACACAGATCTGATGTTTTTGTCTTTTTGGTGGATGTTTTAAGTCACATTCTTCATGTTCGTTAAGATTAATTCACTAAAGCTGTTCCCATTGCTCTTTAATTTGCAATTTAATTTTATTGATAAACCAACATTTCCATCTCAGCCAAGCACCAAATTTAATTTGAGATATTTCTTTCCCCTCAGGTTTATTAAAGCACAAATTGAAAATGCACATAAAAACAGGTGGATGGAAACCCACCTATTGAAACACATTGTGTAAAACCTCATATGCCCACTCACCCAAATCCGCCTGACTTCAGCTTTTAAGTGACCTTATCTTAAATGTCCATAAATCCACTTTTATGATCCTGTCAAACACAGTCACAGCAAACATAAAGAAACTTCGCACTTAGCAGTTGTAGGTCTCTTGGGATCTGGTTCCTGATGCCTGTTTGTGATGGAAATCTTGCGAGCTGGCTGCCTCGTGATGGAAGAAGTTTCAGGAGACCCAGATGTCTTAAGCAGAAGTATTTATTGAAGCGTCGCCAAGGAGAATGGAGATGAGCAATACAAGTTAACACTGTGAAATGCCGTCCAATTCTGAAGGCTGTTGTTACAGGGTCTATTTAAACCCAGACTAAACTCACATAACACTTGCTACATGTCCAAATAAGGATGTTCTTTATGGGCCAACAACATCTATCCCATGTGAAGATGCTGTTGTGTACCAAATCCTGAGCAATGAATTACATTCACTTAAGTGTATAAGGAATCTTAAGGTAAGACAGCCTGACCCTGAGCTGAAGGACCCCTGTGTTATGACTATTCCCTCCCTAGGCCATATCTTTACAACCTTGGTTGTTATGCCAACTGGGCCAGCTGGATCCTGGTAACTGGACCCGTCATTGACGTAGTGCATTCCCCAGCCCCTTGCCTAACCTTAACCGTCACAACTGAAAGCCTAACTCTTACCCTAAAACGCTCAAACAGACATTTACCCCACAAAACTGTCGGACCCCACAGGAATCATGGGCTCCGATGAATACAGTAAAGCGAGCATCATAAATTGATTATTTTTATCATTCATAAACTTGTTCGTGGACTGTTGCAGTTCTGACCACTGCCATCAGAAGGCGCCATGGCAAACTTCTCTCTCTGTTGTTGCTAGGCAACAGTTGTAGCAGAGAGCAGATGGCTGTGTTTAGTTTCTTGGCAAAGTTTTCAGTAAATCAAGATTTAATTAGCTGAGTTTTAAACATTTCCATCCTGATAAAGTCACAAGTGATCAATTTTCATGATGTGAGGATGAGATCACAACAGATTAATCTGAACGCTTTGGCAAAAAACAACTATTTGTCTGTTTCCCCAAATGACTAATGTTCAGTGCTCAGCTTACTTCCTGTTGTCCTCGTCCCGACCACGTCCTGTCTGTGGACTGAGTCAGATTACTTTGATCTCAGATACACCCTGGGCAAATTACATGTTTTGTAGATTTTGTGATTTTTGATGTACAAAGAAGTGAATACAAGCCCTGCAGCAAACAGACATTAAAAAATAAGCCTGTCTTCAAATGTTAATACACTGTTAGTTTTTATTACATGACGTAAAAAAAAAAAAAAAAATCAAACACTAATTGTGGCATGAGGTTAGGCACTCTGCTAATTAGTGGATCCTTTTATCTTCAGGTTTTGAATTATTTTCTTTTGAACATTCTCCGGCTACATAAACTGTGAATAGGTGTCTACTTGCACCCGCATTCTGTGTCAACACACCTTAATACTTCTGTATTTTAATCAAGTATCTGCTGAAAAATAAAGCGTGAAAGTCAGAAGCCTGCAGATGTTACTGCAGTGTAATGAAACATATTTCACACTTCACAGTTCAGTTCCTGTATGACCACATGATTACACTGATGCTGACACAGCTCAGCAGCAGGTGGAGGCCGTCACATTTTGGCCAATATCACAGATCATGTGGTGACGTCCTGCTGTGATTCACAGTGGAAACAGGAATGAACGAGGTGTAGCTCAGACAGCTGGGCCGTACCAGTGGAAAGAGCTACATGACATAGTGAATAAATAATTCAATTAATTATTACATTGCTGTGCATCACTACACTCTAACAATACTGAGGACATTTTCATCTGAGTGTTTTTGTATTTACTCAATGACTGACGAGTTATATGTGTTTTTCTTTTTGCTCTTTGAATGCATTTTCTTTGACATCCCTGGAACTAATTTTAGAGGGTAACACTGCATATATAACGGTGACGACGCATTTAATCCATTTCATTTAAACTCAGCTTCGGAGTTGTGAAACTCATCATGGTTGAGAACAAACCTTAGTTTTAAAAAAGGCCTTGACACAGTTGTGGTGTAGGAACAGACTGCACATTACTGAGCCGCTTGCTATCAAATAAATCATGTGTACAGCCTGTGGGAAGGTGAGGACGGTAGAAAACTGTAGATTATGACAAACACGGCAAATATTTCCTGAATCTCTTTTGTTGAAGATTCTTTATTCTTATTTTGGGCACATCCCAGAGTGTCAGTGTAGAGACGTTGCAGAGCCTCAAGGATTAACCAGAAACAGGCCTGAGTGCTGCTGTTTTATGGTCTCCTCCTCTGAGCGTCATCACGTTATCACACATTTACACAAGGTCACTGAGTTCTCAACAGCACTCAGCAGCCACCGACACGTTTCCCTCTCGGTGTGAAAGAGCCTGATCACATGGGAGTTTAACACATTTTGTATAAAATTGTGAGACACTTTAAAAACCTTTTTGACCATGTTGACTCCACCAGGGTGGTTTATTTAAATCCTGGTCATAAATGATTGATCCTCGTCAAAATACTACATATTTTTAGGCTATGTGGATCATTAAAGGAACTTTAAAATTTGTATTATTTGATGAAAAAATTAAATTGGATTTTGTTGTTATATAATCTGTCTGAACTGTAGATGCATTAAGATGAACACAAGTCAAAACAAGCATCTATCTGAGAGAGAGATGAAGATAATTTAGCATATTTCAGTTTATGTCCTTCACAAAAACTCAAATCCTTGTGTAAACTGCCAACACCTCAAAAATCTGTAACTCTGTTGACGTAACACTAAACCTGTTCAGTTTGATGAGTTATTTGGACATGTGAAGTGTTGGTGGCCTTCTACCTTTACCCCACATACTTTTAAGTCAGTCTGTATGTATTGATATGTTTGAAGTGTTTGGCAAACAATGAATTTCATAATTATTTCAATCTGCGTTGCATTTATTGGTATTCTGCTTGTAAATGTGTTATTCAATTACCAAGATTATGATTTATAATGTTTTGTAGAAATTATTTAGTCGCCCAAATGTTATTTGTTCTCTTCAATACCAAACTGTCCGCTAAGGTTTCTAATAAAGGGGCGTGTCGAATCATTAAAAGACTTAGGTGAAGGATTTGTCTCATGTGGCGGCCTAAAAGATACACGATGTCCGGGTCAACAGGGTCGAGGAGCTAGAAACGATCAAATAAGGGAACCTGGATGTTCCTGTGGACATGTGACATCGCCCCTGTCTGTCTTCTGATTGGAATATACCATTAATTAATCATTTTAACTGGCTGAGATTTTATCTTCCTCTGGGGAAATAACATCTCCATGGCAACAGTACAGCAAAGTGTAGCTGTTGCCATGGCAGTTAGAGCTGGACAGATAAAGAGCGAATGTGTAACAGCCACTGGTGAGGATTAAAAGTGTAATCTGATGTCCTCACATATGTAACAATGCTTATGTGTGTTTGTTTTGCTTATGTGTGTTTGTTTTTGCTTATGTGTGTTTGTTTTTGTTGCACCCGTCACCTGCAGATTTCCCATGATGCCTCCCGACGGCACGCCCACTCCAGCGGAACAGCCGCGGCCATCTTGGTGTCGCTGTTGCTGGTGTGTTTGTTGGCTGCACTCGGCTACTACGTCTTCAAACACAAGACCGATGCTTTCCGCTTCCACTACTTCAGAGTGAGATACACACACACACACACACACACACACACACACACACACACACACACACACACACACACACACACAGTTGCAGAGCTGGTGTGAGCTGATGTTGTATCTGCTGATGGTGACCTTTAGGTTAAAAGAAGTGAAACTGGCTTAAATGTTTCAGTGGCATCTTTAATTAGTGCATGAATTAATTAATGACCTTATTACAGGAAATATAATAACCTTGATTATAAACTGACATCCCCCCTAGTCATCATGAATTTATTTCCTCAGCAAAACACAAAACCTGAACCTTCAGAAACTCCTGAAGGTTACAATTTACGAAACACATTCACCATAAGCAGACTTGTAAACAATCGCTGGCTTTGCAACATGAAGGTTACAAACCACCTATAACTCAACACTGTGTAAAGAACCTGATTGCTACTGATGTTGTGAACATGTAATTGTTTAGGCCTCGAATATAAGACGACCACACTGTCAGTCCTGCAGTTGGTCGGTCAGTCCACTTTGGTCCAGACTAAACTATGTCATCAACTACTCAAACTGAGCTCCATGGGACGAATCCTACTAACTTTTCTGATCCCTGTAGCGTCATCAGCTATTCAAAGTCTTTACTAATTCCCTGTAGCGTCACCATGAGGTTCACATTTACGTTTTTGAATGAAATACTACTGGATGGATTAGCATGACATTTGATACACATGATGAATTATAATCAGTTCCCTCAACTTTTTCTGCAGCGCCATAAATCAAGTCAAAGTTTCAGTTTGTGCAATGCTTTGGTTTATAACCAAATTCTTTTGCACATTTTAGCATGCTAACACACTATACTAATAAAATAACCATTATTCAGTCTGTCTTAAAAGAATTAGTGGATGCTCATATGAATGTTGAAACAGGTCTGATCATGAGGGATTGGAAGTGAAGAAGTGTCTCGGCACTTAAAGGAAGATGTAGAGCAGATATTAATGTCGGGAGTGTTTGATATTATAATCCTTTTGTTAGAAAAAAACAAACATGGTGTTAATCAGTGATTCAGCTGCTGCTAACAGCTGACAGTGCTTCCTGTTGTTTCCTCCGTGACAGAATGAGGATGAGGATGGTACAGCAGGCGGCAGGACCAAACCCGCACTGGTCTCAATCCCCAACCCTCTGTACAGCGGCTCCAGGGCCTTCACGGAGCCATTTGGGGTGAGTTGACTAATCTGAACATTCACGTCAGGAGGAGAGTCTGAGCTGCTCGTTTGTTTTTTTTTAAACTAAACCACGAGGATCCCGACAAAAGTGGCTGTTCAGATGGAAAACAGCTCTGTGTTAGAACAATGCAAGGAGCTGTTTTGGTTGGGGTGTACTGGTTCAGTCACTGGTGAGAAAGGAAATACAATCCAGAAAGTCCAGTTTCAGTAACAGATCAGTGAAGGAGCAAAGATATCCAGAGCGGATCCTCAGGATTGTCCTCAGTGCTGCTGATCCAGGCGTATTTTATTTAAATGAACCAGTATCAGCTGCAGTAAAGCAGATCAAAGTCCTCTCTTTACTCCACTGTGTTTGTCCACGTCAGCCTGCTGGTGTTGCAGCGTTACTCTCCTTAATGACAGCTCTACACTGCCACCACTTCATCACATATTCAAGTGAAAACTTGAGTGTGTGTGCAATTATTTGGGTCCGCCAGTTACTGACAAAGTTCAGACAAAGAGGTCAGTAAATTCATAGATTCACTCAAATCAGATGAAAATTATAATCGGTAAAAATAAAGAAGTTTGTTGCTGCTGTTCATCGTACTTTGTCTTTATATCCCGTTTATTTTTTTATTACCGCTGCAGGGACCAGTTGAGTAAATGATCTCTGTCTGTGACTGACTGAGTGAAGCCCATCCCTGTGGAGTTTGATTTTTTCTTCGTGCAACTAACCTACCAATTAAAACTTGATTGACTAAGACTCTTCTTATCGACTTATGTTTGGTCGACTATTAGAGATTAAAGATTTTATTCAGATTGAACTGCCAGCTGTGGCGGCTTCCCAGACATTTTTCCAGTGGTTTGTTGTCACTTCTGTGGGTTTTATCCATAGACCGTATATAAAGATAGTGGATTGGATGTAGCCTCCATGACGTCACCCATGCGTTTCTGAGGAGTGGTTTTGAAGCTCAGAGTGGGCTGCTCTGCTGTCGCCATCTTGGCAGTCCCTGACGCATACGCTCACCTACCTGTCACTCAAAGCGACACACCCTCAATTATGTATAATATTGTACTTTAATAAAATTTCTGCTGTAAGGGGATTGACTTGCTTTTGGAGCCAGACTCAAGTGGCCATTCAAGGAACTGCAGTTTTTGGCACTTCTGTGTCGGCTGGATATCAGAGTTGATCTACCAATTAACTTTGATTCTTGATGATTCGGCTACATTTGATAAATACCAATGTTACGTGAAGCGTATCTCAGAATTTAACTTCAAATTCTTCTACATTCAATGAGAGAGCATTTCTTTTGTTTCTTTTGTTTCCTTGAATATAAAACTATGAAAAATATTGTCTAAACTGTAAAGACATTTCCCTGTTTGGTAATAATAAAAGAAAACCTGCACCATTGTCATCATTATGCATATTTAAAAAAATAAATTCTGTCACATACTGATGCATATGGACTGTCAGTGGCAGATGCTTCGACTAAGTAGACACATCCACTTTAATTATCACTTGGATCACAGGACACAAACTGAAAGTCTAGACTCTAATTCATCTGCACTGTTTGTGTTGACAAGACATTAGCCTGATATCTGCAGACAGCTGTTAGACAGTGTTAGCTCTCCGGCAGGAACAGACTGAACAAACTACAATCCACACACTGTTCACTCCACCTCCACAGCCTCACATCTCGTAGCCAGGGATGATATATAATATATATCTTGTCAACACTCAAAAACAGAGCTCAGATCAATGTTCAGGCTTTTGCCAGTCCATCCCTCTTGTCTGTATTCGTTACGAGCTATCCAGAGTCACCTAACCATCCTGAAACGTGAACATTTTTTTCAGACGCTCCAGGAGCATCGCCTTGTACTGTCCTTTTCTCTGTGATCCCATAAGGATGACAGCAAAAGGTCGCAAAGCTGGTTCACATCCTTTTGTTAATTATTTGTTATCATGTCAGAGCATCGGCCTGTCCGGGTTTGAGAAGAGTGGTTTCTGGCCAATGTTCATTCTGACACTTTTATTGAGAGAGTTGAAAACGCCATTTGACAGATTCTGAGAGTGGAATCTAAAAAGTGGAGGTCGTCACTACATGGACACAACATTATGGTTATTCCCATATGACATGAAGGCGGGAAAAGTCACCACCACGACATCTCACCTCTTGTAATGGCAGCTCACACACACACACATACACACACACACCACACAGTATATGTGGACAGAGAAGACATGAATTTAAAATAAGGCTATAATTGTCATGATGTACGATATTTATTGGTACTTAAATTCTGTCAGATCTTGTCGCTTTGTTCATGAAGCTAGTCTTAATATCCTTTTAAATTGGCACATAAATTACTGACAGCATAAAAATCCTGGTTATTTCTGTTTTTAGCAAAAAAAACAAAAAAACATTCAAGTTCTTTTACTTTAATAACTAATAATGATCGTTATTCCTTACATTGATCATAGATTTTAGTACAGAGTCTTTTGAATAAATAAAAATGACAAATTAAATTCACGTAAAGATAAAAAACAAATATCTGAGGCTGGTTGGACACAGACACTGCTGTGTTATTACTGTTGTTTACTGTGTGTGAAGGACACGCTGCAGTCTCCACTGTTCTCAGTGTCTCTCAGTAGTTTACACATTCCTTCTCCATCAGAGAGCAGGCCGACTTCACTTTGTTCTCAGCTGTGTGCATTAAACTCTGATCCTGCAGGTCTGACAGCAGTGAGATCAGAGTTATACTCCAGTTTAGAGTCAGCTGTTCAGCCACTGTGGCTGCTGCCTGACACAATCTGGGGTTTCTATCCACATGTAGAGCAAAATCAGGGAAAGAAAATGTTAATTAATGCACATTTCCTTCCACAACTGTTATGTGAATATTAGGAATTGGTTCATCGAGATAAACAGCTGGTGCCTAATTTTCCCGTCGGGTGTCATTAAACCATTGCAGAGGAACAGGGTGCAACGAGATGACGTAATGAACAGAGCAGCAGTCAAACTGTTGTTTTCATCTCTTCAGTGGAAATTTAAGTCACTTTTTTGCATTTACTTTTTTTTCTTTTTTTTGTTCATTAACTGAATTTTTAGGAACATTTGTATTTGCTTTGTAGTGGAGAGTTAAATCCAGACCACCGTCATATCTCACTGTGAAATATATGCGTACAGCCAGGACACCTACTGCCCGACTGGATTAATCTGGGAAATATTCATGTTATGACCAGAATTATTTGACTCCCTCCAAATACTCAAGTGGATATTTGGTGTGGGTTCCCTGGTTTGATCATTTTCTCTCCTTCCTGCAGGACACCACTCAGGGGGTGGAGCCGGCAGAACCTGAAGAACCTCCAAAGATCCTGGACTTGGACCAGTAAAACCAGCTGAACCAGTGAAACTGGAGCTGTCTGTTTACAAACCACAATAACCTGCTGGCTGCATGGTTCAGCTTTTTGCAGTTCATTTATATCCAAATAACAAATAAAAGTTGTCGGTTTACTTAACCCAGATGTTCTCGGGAAGGAAAGCCAAATCAATATTTTTTATTATCAATCAATCAAATGATTCCTGTTTAATATAGAAGTGTCTCTGGTAGCTGTAAACCGACCAACTGATTTTTTTAGGCTCTTTTAGCTCCAAGTTTTGGTTTTATGGCACATGTTTGTCTCAGCAGCAGCAGGCAGCTGTTTACAGAGAAAAAAACTTTCAGCAGCTGAACCTGATATTTCCCTCAGGAGTTGGTGGAGATCAAAAACAGTGAAAGGGAATGAACATTGTATTTAAATTTACCAGGTGGACACAAACACGACTCCAGTGGGACGATCATAACCTGAGTTCACTGGATATGAAAGAAGGCAGCTGTTTGCTAATAAGTTAGCCACGGCTACTTTATGCTTTTATTGTTAAATAAATAATTCATTCATTTGTTAGACTCTTCTATGATGAGACAAACAGCTTGGCTTATAATTAGCTTATGGCTTATGTGTCACCAAACACATTATCAGCCCGTTGAAGTTGTTTTTGTTTGCACTCGAGTCCATCGTGCAGAGTGACAGAACGATGTAAACAGATGACAGTGTAAGTGCAGTTGGTTGTTAAAGGAAGTGCTTCAGCAGCGCTCCTCAGTCAGTCACTGTATCAAACCCCCCGCCCCATTTTAGATAATTGGTTTTGATGGACCCGACCTGTCCCAGGACAGAAGTAAATCTGTTTGAATTAGAGGGGGGCCCGACCCATCTGTGAGAGCAAATAAACATGAGCTCGCTTATTAGTCTGGTTTCCATGGAAGTAGAGAGTTGATTATTAATTCAAAGACAATGCCTGATATTAAAGCTTTATTCCTCTGTGCCTTGGAGCTCCACCACTGTCAAAAACACATCGGTGAGCTAAACTGCTGCACTGGATGACATGTGCCTTCCTGCCCATGAACACACACGCTAGTTTATTTTGACCCATTCCTACCTACACCATCCTGCTGTTGGAAATGCCCACCGCAGGAACAAATGTGGATTAATCCGCCATTGAAAATAGTCCCCAACAACTGTGCTATTCCCATCTGTAACATCTGATTAAAAACTACAGTTTTCAGCTTTTTCAGCAAGTCACTGAGCTTTTTTTTTTTTTTTTAAAGAAATTTGTGAGCTGATTGTAAAGATTTACGTCTTCAGAAGAAACAAACAGGATGGGGGGAACACCAGCCTCATCCTTTAACTCATTCATACAGAGAAACTGGCTGAACACAAAGTACTGCCACACTGGAGCAGCTGCATTTCCTCAAACCACCAAAATGTTCACCATCGTTTAAAATCACAACCGCTGAGAAGACATTAAACTCAATCCATCTGACAGTCTGCTGTGTTTTGGGTTTTTTTTTGTATTTGTGCTGAGTTTGTCAGAAAACATTTAAATTACATTAGAGGCGGTGTGGAGGAAATCAATGCAGGCTCACCTGACACCGCGGACCTGTCATAACAAGGTTTCTGTAGGTAAACCTGGGGAAGGACCACCACTGTTGTTGAATCCAAACAAAATGTTTAATTTGTTAAGTAAAAAAAAACATTACTGCTACTCTGTGCTACTATCAGCAGCTTCAACAACCTCCTCTTAGAAAGAAGAAAGAAATTCATAAGACTTTGCTCCTTGAAGTCACTTTCATTAATTTCATTAGCTAGCTTAATACGATCACCTGTACAGTTCATAAGCTGCTTAGGAAGGACAGGGACACAGGCAGGTTCAGGGTCAGGAGCGAAGGCACAAGCAGAACAGGAAGGAGGCAAAAACCACAGTCCACAGCATGAGAGAAGTGATGATTTATCAGGGAACAAGTCCAACTGACAGGTTTAAAATACTTAGAGAACTGACGAGGAAACTGGGAACAGGTGTCTGACAGGGTGGGGAAGGTCAGGTGACTGGGATTGGAGGGAAATCCGGGGGCATCTGGCGGCCGGATGGAGAATGGCAGTTGCTGGAAACTTCCAGAGAAATGCAGGACGTGGGGAAGTCAGACTGTGACGGAGGCAGAGCAGAAAACAAAAACAGGACGGAGGCAGGAATCATGACAAATGGTCCAGTGGTCAAATTCATGCTGATAAAGCAATGCAAAGATCAGCACTGCTTTTGAAACACCACAGTTTTGCAGGTGTTTGGTCATAAACCGAAATATTTGCCAAATTCAAACTCGACCTCATGGTGGCGTTAGATAATATAGTAATTTATTCTGAGGGAACAATAGAGATCTGTTCCATACTTCAGCCTAAAGGTCAACCTTATTGGTGGCTCCAGAGGAAATGAAGGGGATCACCAAAGTCATCAGGTTTCATCCTTTGGAGACCACAAATATATCAAGTTTCATGGCTGTCTATGAAACCGTTATTGACTTATTTCAGACGGACTGGCATCCCCGTCCTGAGAGCTACGCTGCTAGTATGGCTAAAAATTGAAAGATGAATCGATGTTATTATTTTCAGTCCTGGTGTTTGTTGAAGTTGACGAGCTGACAGGGTTTTCAGTTATGATCCTTTGTTGGCTTCTCCTTAATTTCTTTGCTGCCAGATCTGATTTTGTTTTTTTATTTTTTACCTGTTTTGTTTACATGAAAACCACAGAAATCCGTCTTCACTCTGATTGTATCTGATGTGTCTGTGTCTCTCATCTGCCTCTACATCTGTTCCTTCACCACTTTTGTTTTTCCACGTGACCGCCTGAACTGAAGAGATGTGTTTTGTTTACACAGCCAGCAGGTTTTTTTTTCTTCACTCAGGTTTTCCTGTGTGAAAGCAGCCATGTTGTTTATGAAGGAGGGAACCAGTTTGTTTCTTCTCCTTCCTCTCCTCGGCTCCTCTGTTCAAATCTCCAGGCAAAAAAAAAAAAAATAGAAATCGTTGTTATTCTGCTGCGTCTACAGCTGGCTCACACTGTAAAACCCCAAATGCTTCCTCTCTCTGTAGACCTTCACTTTAAATAGCTTTCCTACTCTGCTGCCGACATTCAAGACACAAAAAAACAAGCCTGACCTCCTCCCCCCTGCTGTCCATGTGGCCGTCACACAGTTTAATGGCTTGACAGCTCAGCAGAAAGCAGTGCACACGAGGAACATGGAGCAGTGTAATTCTACATTTGAGCCGTGTTGAGATCAGAATATCTGTGATGAGGTAACCTTTTCAAAATGGAGCGCGAGCAGTTGTGGAGGTTTCCCCGCCTGCTGAGCTCCCTTCCCCCAACGCACAAAGAGCCGAGCTGCAGCGCTGGCTGCACAGCAGAGCAGCTTGGAAATGGTTTTGCCTGAGAAGCAACGCTGTGGGGGCAGAAAGGGGGCGGGTGGAGTGAAGACCGGAGACTCTGACCTCTACTGCTGCAGGCTGGCTGGCTGGTTTGCCGCCATGGCCGACCTTATTTACAACCGGCATTGTCGGTTCACATCTGACCTCCTGTCTGAACAAACATGTCCTGATCAGATCTGAGACAACACTCTGTCTTTGTTAAAGAGCTGAGAGTGACAGCTGGTTACTGTGCAGAGGAAACCAAGGAGCTTATGTCTCGCAGTCAGTCTCTCTTTTGTCTCTCATGAGCCTGACGCCCGGCCATATTTGCATTTAGCACGTAATTTACATACTCAGCTCTGATTGGGCAGTAATTTCCTCACGTCTCCAATTCTGACATATGCGTCCGTGACATCACTCATAGGTTTCTGAAGAGTGGTTTTGACCGCTGTTGCCATCTTGAGTTCAGTGTCTGACTCCACTGAACTCCTGGCTAATCCACAAATGGTCAAAGAGGAGGAGTGCGTGTGATGTCAAGACTTCGGTGCAATGCCGGCTTGTGGCAAGCATACTGTCTCACTTTTGGAGTGAGCCTCAAGTGGCCATTCAAAGAAGTGCCATTTTTGGTACTTGCTTGTTGGTTTCATTTTTCAGCTCTTGAGTTGATTAAAAGGTTTCTTGGTTCCAGGAAAAGTTCCTGTAGTAGAATAGGGTTGATAGCTTTGCAGAAACTACTGGAAAACACAGCAAACTACTTTTAGCTCCTCATGCCAAGCTGGCCAGTAACCTGATCAACACCCCTGCACAGGTCACATCTGCAGAGGGGCTGCCACCTTTTCAAATATGTTCAAACTAATTAGAAGAGGCATGTAATTAAAATACATGTAATAGTTTCTGGTGCCTCCTCCTTCACTTGAGGTGGCAAACTAGCAGGTGAGTCCTCAAATTTGCTATCGTTGTAAAGTAAGGCAGCACTTTTTACAAAGTCGGCAAACAGACTTATCTTTGTTGGTAATTTTGCCAACTACATTGAAGAAAATTCTTCCACATACTGTTTCTCCGATGTTTCTGTGTTGTGATTTTTCGATCAGCACAGCTTTGCTCGCAGATGTTCTCCTCCAGTTTTATTTATTAGCTTGGTGTCCAATACGCAGCAGGTCAAGCTGATAGTGAATTTTGCTGCACCACAATGCAAACTACTTCAAATGCTCTGATTCGCTTGTAGATGGTAAAGTTTGAATTCAAACAGGTCAGTTTGAATATTATATCCTTGCTCTCTCATTGGGTTGACCTGATGAACCCTCCAACAACCAATTTGTCAGTCTGAATCCCTAATGTGGTTCACTGCTCTAAAGCATGTCAAACAACCTTTATAAACCAAAACACGAAACTCAAGACAGACTGTTCTCCTGACCAAAAGCAGAACAGCAGGCAAAACTAATGCTGTCGGCTAATATGCCAGTGACCCAGACAGTCATTTTTTTGTGAATGAAATATTTACTTGAAAGTCCACGTCCACGTTAGTATCAAAAGATATAAATACCAGTTTACATGTTTGTGCTGCTGCCCATCTGTTTAAAACCCCCTCCAATGAAAATCAAGTTTTTAACATTGTTAAAATGTCCATATGATGTTTTTTTTATATAATACAAGACATATCATGAGCGAAATAAGAAGTCAACGCCATGACTACGTTTTTCCACCACGTTTGAATCCCAGGCATTCGCACAACCGAGAGTTTGCATGTTTGTCAGCCACGGCCAGTTACAAGCTAACAAACAGCATAAATATCTACGCTTACTGTTCTGATACGTCTTGTAGTCTCTGATTCCGGTCTGAACAGACTCTGCACTCCTCCGATGTTTCCTCCACTAACCATCTTGAAGCTCACTGCTCTTTCACCTAATGCAAGCAGCAGTGGTGGGCGGGGCAAAGGTCTGATGTAGAATTTCTCAGTGAGGAAGTTAACGTGCTTGCAACCCCAGTTTCCATTTTTTATTTACTTTTCATGTGGGAAAACAATGTTAAGCAAAATATTAATCATAGCAGAGTATTTTTTTACATAGTTTAAAACATATATGGAGAGGAACTTTAACATGGTAATTTTTAAAAGAGCTTGAGTCAGCTGTTTCCTCAAATGGAAATGTCCTAAAAAATGTGTAATGTTGTGTGATTATTTGCAGTTTTCCTGAATGTTCTGAGGAAGAAACAGAAGTTGATAATTTTATAGCCTGCACTGAGTGTGTGACTGCAGCTGGTCTGTGGTGAGAAAATCTAAGCTGAGGTCGTCTGACAAACACTCTTGAAGGTAGAAGACACAGGAAACACCAGTACGGCCTGTTCTGAGAACATGAGTCACACAGGTCAACAAACAGCTTATTATCACACTCCAGCTTTACTGCAGGAGAATAATTACAGCTGGTTTGTTTCAGGCACTTAGCAGAGCTTAATGTTGAGGTTTTGGCTTGAATTTTTTGCCATTTCAGCCCTGGTTTATCACCAGTGTTATGGGCTTAATTCAAGTATTCACATTTCCCAAACTTCCATGCTTGGACCAAGAATGTTGGTATTAGAAAAACCTGCACACTAACTCCAAACCCCAAATTCATTTAAATGGACAGTTTTTGACCCCAGTCATGTCTTCATCAGTCCAGTTAAATAAATGTGTGGTTTTGAGTCAGTGTACAGACTTTACTCTTGTAATTTATGGTGATTTCTAGTGGCCCTGCACCTATGTGTCATGCTCATATAATTAGGCTCCTTTTAGGATTATAAAATGTGACTTTTCTATTAGGATCACCA